AGAGAGAAAATGTGTGGAAGATCTGTAGGCAGAGAAAGGGAGCAGAGGGGTTGCCTTTTCTGGATTAAAGACTTGCTTCAAGGATCTGTAGCTTTGCCAGTGGGGAGGATATTTTGTGGAGAAGTAAAACTTGTTGCTTCACTATGAGACTCTGCTCCCATTGTAGAATCACAGCCTGTGCCGTGACAATGAAAAAGTATGTGGAAGAAAATGTGTCCCAGACGTCCTACACGACCATCAAGTACTTCATGAAGATGCTGAGCAGTGTCAGCGAGACCTTGATCTTCATCTTCATGGGCGTGTCCACCATTGGGAAGAACCATGAGTGGAACTGGGCCTTCATCTGCTTCACTCTGGTTTTCTGCCAGATCTGGAGAGCCATCAGTAAGAAACAGCAGGGACCCAAAGACTCCTACCCAGCTTGTTGGTTTTTCTTTTTCTTCTTTTTCATTTTCTACTTCTCTTTATTCCCTTCTGCCCTATAAAACCGTAAGCAGTGAGTTGGGGCTAACTGGTTTTATTGCTTAGGGGAGGGTTGGCACCTTGTAGTGACCAAGAATGTTGTATGTTTGTTCCCTCCATTAGCTCAAAGTTCTGAGTGGCTGGCAGATAAGGTTCTGCATTGAAGCTGGGAGGAAGCAAAGAATATTTTCTCTTTTAATTGAAGACTGAACTTTTACATCTACACATTTAAATATAGCTCAGTAAATGTATCCCTTGCACTTCACTTCTTTGCCAATTTTTACCCTCTTGCACCTTAAATCAGATATAGATTATAAACTGTGGGTATTTACACATTTGTTTCAGGATAAGTGAGAACTTCAAAATTGTGTAAGGCAAATACACTCACATATCCCTCTAAATAGCACAGTTAGTTTGAGGGTTTAGTGCATGGGTATCTAGCAAAGAAAGGGCCAGGAAGTAGAATTTTTATTTTAAAAAGAACTCAATGTGAATTAGTAAGGACAACTATAAATTAAATGATCTCCCCCTTGTAAAGGGTGCATAATTTTTGAAATTGAGATTCAATGATTGCTGATTTATCTTGTACATTTATGTTTCAGGAACCAGAAAAAATACATTAGGCACTGAGCTACAATATACGTGTTTCTATTTGATTAGAAACATTATATTTTCTACTGACTTCGACTAATCTTTTAAAATCAATTACTCAGAGAAATTAGGAGATGTGGTTGAGAACTTACATTGAATGTGTCAATTTCAAATTAATTTAGGATGGCTTTTAGGATCTAGGAAAGAATAATAAGAAGGCAGAAATATTAAAATATTCATAAGGACAGTGGGATCTGTATGCCTACTGGGTCCCTGGTGGAAAAACAATTAAAGAAACTTTGATATACATTCAAATCTGAAATCAAATCCCGTCATGGTTATTCACAAGTCATTTGAACTTGGCAGACATTTATCTATTCAAAAATCTTCTTCCACCACCAAAAATTTTAGATGTCTTTCAGTTCCAATATTCTACAAATCTTCAGTGAAGTAGAACTAATATCAAAAGAAATAATATTAGAGAGCTTCATCCCAACCAACAAGAAGATTAATATTGTGGCTATATCAACATTGTTTACCCTTAGTGACCATCTAGCCCAACTCCATAATCTTATAATTGAGAGAACTGATGGGACCGCCATTGATGGAGGGACCAGTTGACCACATTCCAGTGATTGACAGAGCAGGCGTCAGAATCCAGTTCTCCCACTCATTGCCTATTCTCTTTCCATCCTGACTCATTATTGCTAATAGTAATGATGATGAGAGTTTATAAGGCTCTTGAAGGCTTGGAAATTCAAGGCCTCATTTTATGTGATTTATGGATATTAAGTTTATTTAATCTTTTTGCCTGACTTCTGAGGTAAATATACTTGGCTCCCTATATCCTTGCCTTCTGCATCCATAGATTCAACCAATCACAGATCAATCATAGTAGAAAAAGAAAAACCTTCCTGCACCCAACATGTGCAGACTTTTTTTTCCTAATCACTAAAAAATATAGCATAACATCTATTGATAGAGCACTGATATTTCATTAGGTATTATAGATGATCTAGAGATGATTTAAAGTATCCAGGAGAGTGTGCCTCATTTCCATGCGAGTGCCATACCATTTGATATGAGGGACTTGAGTATCCATGGAATTTGGTCTCTGTGGGGGGCCCAGAACCAAGGGATGGCTCTCATCTCTATTATGCAGATGAAGATTCTGGGGGCTTGAAATGACGAATAACCTTGCTCAAGTTCACATGACTGGCATATAGAGAAACCAGTACAAACAAAACAAAAGGAAACCTTTGAATTCTTCTGTCTTTTATATTATCACTGTTAACAGAGGCTGTAAAGCCTGTGTGGTTGGAGGTCCTTGAGTATGTGGAGAGATTCATTCTACTGAAATAAAGCCTCTTCTTTCATTAGTGACAGCTTTTTGGGAGGAACCTTTTCCACCAGGAACCAGCACATTGGTGGTGGCTAAGTCCTGTGGGACACGTTGGGAGGCAGAATTTATGTCCAGACACGTTGCCCTAACTTCCAACTTCGGCTTAAGAAACTCTGGCAAAAGAGTTCCCAGCCCCAGCCCTTGGGAGCCCCCTCACTTGTTGCATTGAACCCCAAAATGAGCAGAGCCAACCAGAAAACATTGGCTCAGCTTTAGAGGTCACAGTTACTAGAAAGCAGAGAACCCTCCTCACACTGAAATCCCAGACCTCTTTTGGGAAGCCAATGATGATATGAGATAAACATTTTTTTTTTCCAAATAATATCCTTGCTTTAACTAATTTTGAAAGGCAGAGAAATCATTATGAATATAGCTTAAAAATATCCCCTTACACACCCACAAAAATTAAGTTTCTATTATTTTATTTTATTTTGGGGGTTACCAAGGATTGAACACAGGGGCGCTTGATCACTGAGCCACATCCCCAGCCCTGTTTTGTATTAATCTAGAGATAGGGTCTCAAATGTGTTGTGTAGCACCTCGCTTTTGCAAAGGTTGCCTTTGAACTTGCGATCCTCCTTTCTCAGCCTCCTGAGCCACTGGGATTACAAGTGTGCACCACTCTGCCCAGCAAGATTCTGTTATTTTAAACACACATGTGCAAACTACACGTGGCAGGAAGCCACCAGCAAAGACTTCCAAGTTGAGGCACTGTGGTCTCCCCAGCCAACAAGTGAAGGGCCCTCAGAGGGTTCTCTTTGGGAAGGGTGCTCCTGGGTGTGCTGGAATCGGGTTGCCTTGTTGGAGGGCAGGCAGGGAGACCTCAGCTTCAGCCCACCAGCATTTGATCTCCACCCATTTGCGGCTCCTGCTCTAATATGTATCTCCCCCTTTCTAGGCGTATTTGCCCTCTTCTATGTCAGTAACCAGTTTCGGACTTTCCCCTTCTCCATCAAGGACCAGTGCATAATTTTCTACAGTGGTGTTCGAGGAGCTGGAAGTTTTTCACTAGCATTTCTGCTTCCTCTGTCTCTTTTTCCTAGGAAGAAATTATTTGTCACTGCTACACTGGTAGTTATATATTTTACTGCATTCATTCAGGTTGGTAGATTTCCTCAATGTTTAATGTAAATAGATCTCTTCAGACTGTGTATCTAATTTTTAAGATGCAAATACAGGAAACTCATCTGATTAGATTTCTGTTCCATACCCAAACAAAATTCCCCAAAATGTCTAGGTCATGTTCATGATGGGTCACTAACTTCTAAAATGTGATGCTTTTTGATTAATTCAACACATTGATAAAATATCCTGGGATCACAAGTGAATAACTATGCTACTATACATCTCTGAAAACGAGACTCCAATTATTACTAGATAGCAAAAGTTTTTTCTTTCAGTTGGCATTAGCTCTTAACAAACTAATGAAATGTTATTTTAAGGGATGAAATCAAGCTCTTTATAAAAATACAGATAGTATGATTTTTATTACAGCCCTTAAAAGAATTAAGAACAAAAGTAAACATTGAAGCATATATTCAAGAAAAGCTAGAAACAAACATGTACCAATTAGTCATTGTAGTAATTTTCATAATAGGTATGTTCTCTGTAGTGGTGATTTTCATCTCAGCACAACCCTTTATTTCATTGTTTATGATCTAGGGCATCACAATTGGTCCTCTGGTCAGATACCTGGATGTCAGAAAGACCAATAAAAAAGAATCCATCAATGAAGAGCTTCATACCCGTGTAAGTTATGAGTTCATAAGATGTTGCCCATTTGTCACCTATGAGAATGTTCTAGAGACTTGGGTACATGTCACTAGACTTGTAGCCTCTTTCCTCCCTACCTCCACTAAACGTGATCGTACAGTTTCCTAGTTTTGCTGCTGTAGGGAATTAACAAAAGTTTATGGCTTTAAACAGCACAAATGTATTATCTTGGAGTTCTGGAGGTAGGCATTGAAATGGGTCACAATCAAGGTGTGGCAGGCTACAATACCTTTCTGGAAGCTCTAAGTAAGAATCTGTTTTCCTGCATCCTCCAGCTTCTAGAGGCTTTCCGTGTTCCTTGGCTGGGTCCCTTCCATCCAGAAAGCCAGGAATGACTGACAGGTCTCTCTCATGTCACACCACTGTGGCTCTTCTGCCTTCCTCTTCCACACTGAAGGACCATTGTGATTGCGTTGGGCCCATATGGATAATCCTAGATGTTCCCTCTGTCTTAAAGTCAGTGGACTAATAACCTTAAGTCCATTGGTTATCTGAGTTCTCCTTTGCATATAAACCATCATATTCACAGGTCTCAAAGATTAGGATGTAAACTTCTTTGGGAGACCATTATTCTGCCTACCACACTCTTCTCTCTTGTCTCTCCAAGATTTATATTTGTTCCACCTGCAAAATATATTCAATCTATCCTAGTATCATGGAAATCTAAATCCACCAAAGCATCAACTCCAAGTCCATATCTCATCTAAATTTCATCAGTTAAAATGTCCCAGATATCATCATCTCAATCATCTACATCAGGGACTCTTGGTAGAATCCATTGTAAGGCACAATTTCACTTCTCATCCTATAAAAGTCAGGAAACTAGTTATCTGTTTCCTAATTATACTGCAAGGACAGTTGCTGGATAACAGGTATTGACACTCCTTTTCAATAAGTGGGGGAATGGAAGTGAAAATGAAGTCATGGATCCCAAGCGAATTGCAAAGTCCTTCTGGGAAAATTCTATTTGGTTTCAAGGCCTGGAAATAATGTCCTTAGATTCTTTCTTTTACCCTCTAGTGCTCACTCTACCCTCTGATCCATACTTCCTGTATGTAAAAGGTAGCATGCCTTCCAAGCTGAGTGGTTTTATTGGCCAGTTTCTTGCTTGTAAAATTGCGGGGTCCAACCGTCTTCTTTCATTCTACCCCCTTCTCTCTCCCTTTCATTTCAAGATGGCGGTGTTTCCTCAAGGTCCAACAGAAAAGCAGACCCAGTAGAAGAAATATAAAGAGATTTGTTCAAGGAATTGGTTTATACTCTTGTAGAAAGAGGTTAGCAAGTCCCAAATCCATAGGACAGACCAAGAAGGGAAGGCTAAAACTTTGTGGCATGACTTAAAGCTTTTATCCACAGCACACTTTCTCATTTGGGAAGGCTCAACTGTGTTGTGAAAACCTCTCAACTGACCAAATCCAGCCACTGAAATCATCTCAAATTATCTCCCTTGCTTAAAGACAACTGGTTACGAACTTTAATCATATCTACAGAATCACAACAATATCTAGATTTGTTTTTGGTTGAATAATTGGGGACTTGATTAGTCAATTTGATTCCTTAGAAGAACTATTATAGTGACTAATGTTCAAAATTGTCTTACTTCTAAAATCATTGTTCCACAGGAATATGGGGTCCTTTTTCTTTTTTTAAAAAATCTTTTAATGGTGAAAGTACAAAGATTACAAATGTAGTCTGGGGGCAGTTTTTGAGGGAACTCTATCCAGGCAAAGGTGAGTATGAAGTTCAGTCTGATTTCTACCTGTTTGAGTTCAACACAATACACATAGAATAACATTCTGTATGGCTCCCTGGAATAGAATTGAGAATTAATGTAGGGAAGATGCACACATACAGAGATAGATGTCAGCTCGTTTATGAAAGAATATTCTGAAATCATTTTTTTGATTGTTGTGCCCACGGGGCAATGGATGTGCCCAGCAGTGATTGGGGGCACTTGGTATATTTGCTGTTCAGAAATGCAAGCTTTCAGGGGATAATTGAGCCAAATAACTACTACAATTCTATCTTTGACGGTTCACAATTTTAATGGGGGAGAAATAAATGAAATCTTCCTAAATCAGCTTTGAGTTTCATAGCAAAAGATACTTGAGGAACTAGAGTAATTTAAATTTCAGGAAATGCAGCCAAATTTTTCAAGATCATTTGAAAATATTTAAAGGGATAGAGAGTGTTTTGAAATATGTAGTGCCATAACATAACTGTATACTTTTTTTTTGTCTCTATCTATTTGGATTCATTACTTTGAGAAACAAGGCAATACAACCTAAATATGTAGAACCTGGATATATCATTTCTTTACCAGTTTTTACTCTTTTTCTCAAAAAAATTATAATTATCCACAGGCAATTTGTCAATTAAGTATTTAAAGAATAATTTAGAATCTTAATTTTTTTTTCAAAAGGAAAAGGTCAGAAATTAGTATAGACTCCAGTGATTCATAATTTAAATTATTTAGAGATTAATTTGTAATTATTTTAAGCTTGCATTTCTCCTAAATTCTGTAAACAGTTGTGGATGAAATGAATGTAGTATAATTGCCTCGAATGTTGAAGTGTAAATACATAGATTAAAAAAAATGGGAAATATAGGTAAGTTGTCTCATTATATGTTATCACGATAGATTATCTGAAGAACTGTATTTTGAGAAACTACATAAATTGGATACAGGCATGTTCTTGTTTTGGCAATGGAATTAAAAGTAACAGTTAATTATTAGACTTTGCATCCACATATTTTCAGTAATGAAAAACTTCCCAGATCATTCTAGGTAAATATTCAAAGCCAATGCCAGCAAATGCCTCTTTTCATTGCGTACTATGTGACTTATCAAGGAGCTTATCTAGAGAGTCTTTCAATCATGAAACTAATTTGACATAATATGAAAGGCATGGCATATTTTAGTTACATGAATAGAGAGGAAGAAAGGGGGTAGGCTTCCGCAAATTCAAGCCTCCCCCACTTTCAAATGTGTATCAGCTTTCCCTGTGTGTCTTTTAGAGTCTGCATTTCACCAGGAGTGATTTTCTTCTGTCTTGCTTTTGGCAGCTGATGGATCACTTGAAGGCTGGAATTGAAGATGTGTGTGGGCACTGGAGCCACTACCAAGTGAGAGACAAGTAAGGCACGCAGGGTTTCTGCACGTAACAAAGCATGCTTATGGCATTCCTGGGAACTTTCAAAGAGGACCAGGAAGCTAAAGGTCCCAGGAGCCGTACCATGCAAGAAGCCCTTGGAAATCCCAACATGTCATGCCTAGAGCCTCTAGTGGAAGAGGCCGTAAACCTGGTTTAGGTTGCATCAGAGAGAACTAGTACTATGAGTGGAAATTAGAAAAGTCATGTTTAAGTTTAAAACAAGGACAAGATCCTCCAGGATAAAAGCAGCCGAAGTGTGGAATGACTGGCTTCATGAGACCGTGAAGGGAGTTTGGTGAACCATTAGGGATCCTGGGGCAGAGATTCCTCTGTGGTGGTGGACATCTCAATGGAAGATCTTTCAGGGTCCTTCCTACATGATGATTCTTAAAAAACGCCAAAGTCCCTCTCCTCTGCCATACCTCACACTTACGATCTCATTCTTTTTCTGGAGATAATAGCGCGGCTATAGATGAGGGCTGTAAGCTGTGAGTCGTTGGTGGCTAAAGCCGTGAGCATGGGTGAGATTATTTTAAGCATGTAAAGAGGGGATGCTGATGGAAGACAGACTGAGGACTCCTGATTACCTGGGGTTGGTAAGGAAAAGAAAGGAGGTGGCCAAGGAGGCTGGAAGGGAAGCAGGAGTGAGCTAGGATGTGGGGAGCACCAAGGAACCGCTTAGCATATCAAGAGTCACAGAGGCCAGTGGGGTGGGGCCACAGTAGCCCTTGGAGTTGAATGGTACAAGGTCAAGGTGGGCTTAGCAAGAAGAATGTCAGACAAGTCGTGAAAGTGGGGGTGAAGGTCACTCTAGAGTGTCGTGGTCACTTTCCTTTCAGGGGGAGCTGATCACAGTGGACTGAAGAATTAACAGGAACTATGGCCTTTTATGAAAAAGGGCAGAAAACTGTATGGTCAGGGTGGTGACCCAGTTGGAGCCAGAGTAGCCATGGGCTGAGCCAAACAGATCCCCAAGTTTAGGAAGTCAGATCGCCACACCTGGAGGGGACTTAACTGATGCCTCCCAGATCAGGAAACCAATCCCCAGACAATAAGCCAGCAGCTGGGGCAGATATGCTCCCCTCTAAAAAAAAAAACATAAAGCAGCAGAAAAACTACTCTCTGGATGTGAATTGATGGGAAATGTTGAAAATTTCAACTCCAAACAAATGGGCCACTCCAAGGGCGCCACAGGCACTCAGAGTGGGCTGGACAGAGGTTATTAACAATAGTCAGCGGCCATCAGTCTCTAGCCATTTCAGAGTCTCCATCATTCAGACTGTTTGGACATATGTGGGATTTTTTTTTCTCCCCCTTAATTGTCAAGATTCAAAATTATCTGCAACATAATAGGGCAAAACTGCTATAACTACAGGGACATTTACCCTTACTGGGTTCTGGCTGAATAGGGCAGTATTACTGTAAGCGCAACAGCTGCTCTTAGGAGCTATTAGAATGGAACACTTGTTCAAAAGCCTCAGCCCCCTCATTTCTTCTCTTACAATTGATGCTGAGCTGGGCTGGGCCTCTCCCTCTCCTCTTATGCACACTTTTTGCCCTGATTATGGCTTGTCCTTTTCTTTTTGTTTAGTTGATTTTTCAATGTATTCAGGGCAGTCAGCCATTCTTTCTTTATTGAAAAAATGCAGAAGTACTATGAATGTAAAAAAAAAAAAAAAGTGTTCAAATTCTATGAATTCCAGGCACTGATGTTTTTCAGAATGAAGTTAAATAGTAGTTTAAGAAAAAAACGTGTACTCAGAAAACACATGGAGATTAAAGATTCCAAAATGTTGTTTTTCATTTTTAGGTTCAAAAAGTTTGATCATAGATATTTACGGAAAATCCTAATCCGAAAGAACCAGCCAAAATCAAGCATCGTTTCTTTGTACAAGAAGCTGGAAATGAAACAAGCTATTGAGATGGTAGAGACTGGGATTCTGAGTTCTACAGCTTTTTCCATATCCAATCAGTAAGACATATCTGTTTTTTTTTTTTTTTTTTGATCCAGACTTTCATTGTCCAAATTCCAGGGAGCACTAACTGATGGTTCCCTTTAGAGGTAATACTGGAGGGAAGAGGCAAAAAGATGAGTGTGTTAGTCAGCTTCCTGTTACTGTAACAAATGCCCGAGATAATTTGCTTATAAAGAGAAAATGTTTTGGAGATTTCGGTCCGTGAATGATTGACTAAATTCCTTTTGGGCCTGTGGTGAAATGGCCCATTATGGCAGCAGTATATGGCCAAATGGTTTACTTCATGGCAGAGACTTAAAAGAGAAGAAGAGGTAGTAGTTGGGGTTCTAGGATCTCCTTCAAAGTCAGGACCCCAAAGGCCTGAACACCTCACTTCTTAAAGGTTGCAAACCTCTTAATAGCACCATAGTCTATAGATGAAGCCTTTAACACATGGTCTTTTGGGACACTGACCTAAACCACAGCAGTGAGGACGAATCATACAAAACTAAGACTGAAACCTTGGCATGTTGTGGCTTAGTCCAGAGTCAATATATATATCACTTTGTTTTTGAGAAAAATTACTTTCTAGCAAAAATTGCCTCTTTAGGGGCTGGGATTGTGTAGAGCACTTGCTTAGCACGTGCTAGGCCCTGGGTTCGATCTTCATCACTACATAAAAATAAATAAATAAAATAAAGGTATTGTGTCCAACTACAATTGAAAAATAAATATTAAAAAAATTGCCCCCTTATACAATATCTTCCTTTGGGAGGGAGCAAGTACATTTATAGAATGGCAGCGTGTGGTATAAGATTTTCTCTTTTTTCCTCTTGACCAGCAGTCTCTGTTCTTTAAACCCCATTCATGATTCTGCCCTTCTTACCACTGTGTTTTTTCTCCTTCCCATAATTCATTTATCTACCTCTCTTATGTGAGGAGAGACATGTTGCCTCTCTGAGATGCTAACCTGGGCTTGGGGATGTATGTATTAGCTTTGTGTCACTACAGTGAAATACCGGACCCAGGCTATTTATGGAGTAAAGAGATGTTAGTCTTGGCTCACAGCTTGGGAAGGTTCAAGTCCTAGGTCTGGTGGCTGCATTAGTTTGGGCCCCTGGTGACAGTAGCATACCACAGCAAGGGTACATGTAAAAGCAAGGGCTCACGTCGCAAACCAATGAACAGAGAAAAGAAGAAACTGGGGTCTCACAAACCCCTTTGAGGTCACACCCTCAATAACCTAAAAACCTCTAACTAGACTCTGCGTTTTGAAAGTCCTCAGGGCTCTCCCTTTATCAACACCCTGGCCTTCGGGTGACATTCATCCAAGCCACAAAGGGTTGAGTGGTGGTAGCAAAGAGGGTGCTGGTCAGTTGACTGTTTAAAGAGAAAGCTGCATTGGCAGTTGTGTCTAAGGCAAAGGTCATTGTGAGACTGTGAGACTAGCTTGGAGCAGGAGCAGATCACTGGCTGGCTTCCTGGCGAAAAAGGACCGTAGGCGGCTGAGGTGGAGGCGGTGTGGGCAGAGGTGGTGGCGGTGTGGGCAGAGGTGGTGGCGGTGTATAATTCCATCATTACAGGATGATTTTTTTGAAACAAGGTGTTTCTCTTGGACCATGTGCTAACCAATTGTCCCAACAGCTGGCTAGACATTTTAAAAATCGGCTTTACCTCTCTGATATTTAATGAGAGTTCCTTCAATGTCACAAGAATTAATTCACCTCCTGAAGATGTTCAGTTTTCTTCCAAGGAATGACTTATGAATTGGGAAAATTGATCACTTTATATATTTAGGGAAAGGGACACTAACCCCTCTATCCTGTCTTCAGCAGATAAAAACACTTGATCATGAGCTCACTGACATTCTCACATTAGAAAAGCAAGTTGAGAGAAAAGCTAAAAATAGTTAGCCACAAAACTGTCACTGATGCTTGAGTGTGATTTCTCAGACAACACCTTCCTCCCTAACCTGCTAATGAATCAGAAACACCATTTCCTTCATAATGTGGCCTGAGAAAAATCTAAACTAGATTCCCTGAGGATAGCAGTATAAACAGAAAGCTTTCTGCCTTAGTGAGATTGTTTTTGTGGCTTGTTTGTTTTTGTGGGTGCTTCTCATTGCACGGCTTTAAGGAAGCTTCTGATACCAAAAGGGGAAAGTGCTGACAAATATTTACTGGCAAAGCTGGACTGGGCCCGAGTGGAACCGGAAGCAACAGGAAAAAATCAGGAATGCTGATCCTGTTTTCATTAAAAATGTTGATACTTTATTCATTAAAGATTTTTTCCCTGCATTTTCTACAATATTGCATTCAAACCTTACTTAATGATTATTTACCCCTTACACTTGGTACCTTAGCTCCAGTGCTGCTTATTAGGCACCTATTGCGTATCATGCATGGTAAAAGAAGACTTAGACTCTGCTGTTGTGGACACTATCCTCTAGCAGGGTCATGACATTCATTTTTTCCAAAAACTGTGCAATGTGCAATCATCAATGATAGGGAGCTATGCTAGTATGTGAGAGGAGAGGTGAGCGTGCTGGCCTCCTGGCATGTAACCTGCTCACTGAAGGATGAACTGGAGTTAATGCAGGGGTAGGGGAGGGCTGGACAGCTCCAGGCAGTTAGACCATTAGCAACTTCCTCTATTGCATTGCTCTCCATTTATATGAGCACTTGGTCTAGGAATGTAGGGGCACTTATCTCAAATGAGAATCAGTCTGTCATGTGCTGAAATGTATTTTGAATCTCTATATTACGTTGGCCATAAGCAACTGCCCCACATTCAAGGGGATTTTAAACCAACTTTATTTAGAGTCGCCTCCCAATCCATTTCCCCCGATTCAATTAATTCTTCAGATATTGATTCCAGATTAGAAAGGGGATCTTACAGGTAAGAAATGTTTTTCTACTACTATATCCCCAACTAGCTAATTAACTGAGGTGAGAGAGGGGATTTTTTTTTAAGCTGATATCTAATACAGGTTTAGATTTAAATTGCATTTATTTGATCTCATCAGAAATCTGTAGGACATCAAGCAAAAAGGAACTTCCCTCCTGAGATCAAAGCGGCTAATTTCTTCATAAACAAACCTTCAAACAATAATAGGAAAAAGAAGTGTGTACTCAGCTCGCTTTTTAGTAATCTGTATGAGATGATAACAACAAAATGCTCATATATTTTTTTTCTTTAGAAGTTTAAGCAATTGTTCTACAAAAGGTTGAGATTTCGAAATTCTGTGACCTTCAGGAGAATGTTACCACCAGGGTTGTCCACAGGACAGTTCAGATGACACTGATTCTATGAAACCACATTGCTGCTACGTTGTTCAAATATCAAACCTACTCTATGGAATAGGCAGAATGCATACTTTCATTATTATTTCATTATTATTTTACTCATGAGTGATAAGCTATTTGAAATTCTTAGAGGACAAGAAGCTCCAAATGATTAAAAATGTTGAAGCTTTAGAAATATCTTGATTAATATCATAGGGGCATTAAAATATTTATAAATTTATTGCCATAACAAGACTGCAACTATACGGCCTCATCGTATTATATTTTAGAACTCCCAAGTAATTTTAACGCGTCATCTGTTTTTAAAGCATAAAATAGTTCCACTGTAATTGAAGAACTTTTTTAACTGATCCCACTTTGAAAGAGTGCACCATTTCTGAATTCTTGTGGCAATTCTAGGATATAGATTCTGATGTGATATTTCACTCCCAGAATTGAAAGTGATATTACAGGGAGTGAAGTCATCTTCTCATCCATGCTTCGTTTATTCTAAATGCTAGTCATCTAGGTGGTCTCAATAAAAAGACTCAAAAAAAAAAAAAAAAACCTGAAGGTAGCCTGGTGCACAGAGTAGCTGATGGTGTGTGTGTTGGCTTCCAGCCACACTCTTCCCATGGAATTCAGGGCTACACTATTAAAAGTTCATGTATTTTTCTAAACAAACAGGATATAATATTTGATCTTTGGGAATTCATATTGGGGAATGGATATAAAATCTTCTAGATTCCAGTTGAATTAAAGCTACCTTTTATATTACAATGGCATTTGAGAAAAAAAGAGTTAGTTGGGCTGGGGAGGTAACTAAGTGGTAAAGCACTTTGTAGGGCATGCATGAGGTCCTTGGTTCAATCCCCGGTGACAGACACACACACATACACACACACACACACACACACACACACACACACGAAAGTGAAACTTGCATTCAAATACATCTGGATGGAGGTTTTCCTAGTTTGATTTTAGGAACCATGAAATTACCACAGAACTTTTATTTAAGGTGACGGGGATTTCCTTTATGGACAATAAGTGAATTTTCCAGGGTCAAGAGTCTTAGAGTTTATCATTTGAATCTTTTGACCCAGACATCTTTGTCCACTCGGTTTTTCTAAAGATTGTGTCTTTCCTGTGCTTGTGATGTGAACATCTCAGGAATAATTTTATTAACAAAGTGTCCAAAAAAAAAAAAAAAAAAAAACCTCCAGGCATCACCCCACTCAAGTTGGCCACACCTCCATTTGCCACTGCGGCTTCTCATTGTGGAGTCCAGGAGAGGCCCTACCTTTGAGACACCCTAACTACTCATTCCAGCCCACAGCCTGAATGAGCTTAATTAAGTCTGCTCCTTCCTAAAGTGGCCAACTACACAGTGGGGAAAATGCCAGCATAACTCTATTGCTGTATCAAGTTTCACTTTATCATTTCCTTTATCATTGTTTTTTTTTTTTTTTTCCTATTTGTCTGTTTTATTATGAACGTAGAAAATGGAACTGTTTGGCTAGCTGGTGTTTCTGTTTAGCCATATGTTACACCCACCATAATGAAGGAATGTGTTCAGATTATGAGGGTGTGTGAGTGTACCTAATTCAAAATAAATTTTATTTGAAGGACATTTACACAGTAGGGTTCAAATGCCCTGATAATAATGTTTAGATCACCAAGGCTGGTAACGGAATATCAATAGAGGTAACATTTGCAGCTTTAGATTTCGCCCTATCTTAGGATAGGGAACCTCTGATTTCAATAATTCTGTAGAAAGGGCATTAGTCAATGTACAGAAAGGATGGCTAAATAAAATCCTGGCATGAGGTGATGTCTGGTATCCAAGTCCTTTAAAATCTCCTTCCAATTGCATGTTACATTTTAAATATCCTTAAAATTTATGACCACATAGATACTAATTTGGGGGGGAAAATGCCTAACTATGGCCTGTATTGGAACTAATCATTACTCATCTCTGAGATCAATTAACCTAGAAACATATGAAAGCAGATATTAAAGCCATCAGTGCCCTTACGTATTTACTATAGCGGCAGCTAGAAATAGCAAACATGGAGTCAAGTAACAATTAGGGTTCATAGAAAGATAGGAAGGAAGGTGGAGATATTAAAAGGAAGTCGTAGCTTGTTCTTTCTTTTGCTTGCTTGCTTCCTTCCTTCAATAAGTACATACTACTCACGTAATAAAAAGTTTTGAAAAAATTACTGCCAGTAGATTGTAATCAAATACACTTGTCACATGTGGATTCTTCCCATAGCAATGTTGTGACTTGAAATCCCCAGAGGACAATTGCTCATTGACTGCTAACTTGGGCATAACCTGGATTTTAAACTCTTTCGGGGATTCATAGTGCCCAGTGTCTCAAAGCAGACTGACCTTCATGGTGTGAAGAGTTTGATTCCCTTTGTTAAATGCGATTCTAGTTTTCTTTATTTTAACCAAAATAAAAATCTCTGAAGGTCCGATTCTAAGATAAATGTATCACCCTTGCAGCTTTAATATTTCTTAGGTCAGTGCTACTCAGAATATGTCATGTGGATGGTGTGGGTCTGTGAAATGTTTGTCACCCTGTCCATAATGAGATTAAATACAGAACTAACAAAGAGTCAAACTTTGAGTCATTTTATAAAACATTTGTATTGCATTTTATGGTATCCTTTTCTATTAATTGATTTTTATTGTATGTTACAAACATGTTAATTTGTAACAGAGTGGCAGGGGAAAATTACTTGGTTGTCACCTTAAATCGACGTAAGAGCTCTGAGGAATTCTTTTTTGAAGCTTCAAGACTCATATTCTGACATTTCAAATCAATTCATTAATACCAATAAAAAAAAAACTTATGTATAAAGGGGTTCTGAAACTTAGGGTCATCAATCGTATGGGGCACCCTGGTGTTTATGTGGTATCTCTTGCCAAGATTTGAGAATAATGTTCCTCTTTCTCTAATGATGTTTCCAGGGCCCAGAGGATACAAGGAATTAAAAGACTTTCCCCTGAAGATGTGGAGTCCATGAGGGACATTCTGACTCGCAACATGTACCAAGTTCGACAAAGGGTGTGTATGAGTCATCTGCCTCATTGCTGTTGCCTGTCCTGGGAACCATGCCTTCGGGAACCTGCTCTTGTTCGCATGTCCTCTCTAAAGCAGCCACTTAGAACAAGTTCTCTCTGCTCAGTCTGGAGAACAGAAAGTTAATTGTCATGTTTCTGCTACAAAGTTGGCACCTGTAGCATAAAAAGAAATGCAAACCTAGTTGCTGTCTCTAGGGGTCAGGCTGCCCCAGCCTTGCAGCCTGGAGTTTTCCAGAACCATCAGGTCTCCCTGTCCTCCAAGGGCAGATAAGCAGTCAAGCTCATCCACCACACCAAAGACAGATGGCACCAGGGCACTGAAGATAGCAGAGCTGCCTCAGTGGTTTCAGCTACAATAAAAGAAAGTCGAAGTCATTTAGAATATTGAAACAATAATGCTGAAGACCAGAAAAAAAAGCAAGAAAGGTATTAAGCATCTTATTTTTCAGTTTTGGAAATAGGTATGGAATCTGTAGTAGATGTCAGTCGCTAGACCAATGTACATGCAAGAATATTTCTGAGGGCAATGAATGAGGCAGTCCTAAGAACTTTTGGCTGAATTAAATGACAGATCTGCTGACATCATCCATTTAAGAGTTATTTTACTTTATTTTCAAAATCTGAAGACTTAATCGTCCATCCTGATTCTTGGGTACGATCGTAATAACCACATATGTCCATTGTGAGGGCCTTCGTCTTTCTTTATAGATGATAATCTTAATCGAATAAAAAAATCATAAAATCAAAGCTCTTCATTTCAAGTAGAAGGCACAGAAATTAGTGAAGTTGATGGTCTGACTTATGAAAGGTCCCCAAACCAATCCAAGTTCAGAGCTTAGGTCTTCTGACCTCCTGCCCAATACTCTTTCCATGACATCAGACTTACAATCCAGTAAAAGTGAAGGTCTTCTGGCCTCCTGTCCATGGTGAGGGGGCTCTGTCAGTGAAAGGCTGCAGCCCAGCTGAGGGAATGTAGGTCACCATCAAGAGAGCTGCTTGAATTTCACTGCCTTCAGATCTTTCCAAGTGAAACTGTTTCAGTAAGAAAATCGCATCCTGCCTTAGATCAATAGATAAGAACTTCCTCCTAGTGAGAGCCAAAGGGTGTATATAAGCACCACTAGGTACCTGGTGCCCAGCTTTCCCCCCATGTTGATGAAGCGATAGAGAAATGGATGTGGAGATCCTGAATTCCAACCCATGCTAAACAGTTTCACCACCCATCCTCTTCACTTGGGGCAGGATCCCAGGTAGCCCCCTTCCTTCTTTTTTAAAATTTCCTCCTCCATCTGGCCTCCGGAGTTCTCCCTTTTAATTGAAGTGGCATCTTTCTTCCTTTTTCCCCCAATTTGAGTACACTGACTGCTTTTCACCTACAGGATTTAGACATGAGCACCATGGGAATCCAGTGAGGAAAACATAATTGATCAACAGGGAGGTGACAGCTAGGAGATTCCTTTTGGCCTTCTCTTTCAGTACTTTGGTGAGTGAGGCTCACCAATCCCACCCCTTCTTGGCTTTCCTTTCTAACTCCAGCTTTACCAGGGTCATGAGAATCTTCTCTTCTACATGGATGATGATGATGATGATGATGATGATGCTGCTGCTGCTTTTGTTCTCTTGAAGGGAAAATTCATCATAGAAATGTAACCCAGGACAACTATACTTTGTCTAGTAAGAAATCTACATTTTTGCTGAGGGATATAAAGAATATGTAGAAGCCCTCTGAGGTCCTCCAGGCTGGGTAATAGGTCCAGGCCTGGTGACGGGAGTGTTCCTCACTGTCCAAGTCTTGGAAGAGTCTGTCCTGGGAGTTAGGAGTCATTTGGGGGCAGCTCCAGAATGAGTGCAGGGTTTCACTCTAGGTGATCGTCGTCATAGACGGTTGATATGGGCTGTATCTCCAGCCAACACCTGTTTGAAGTCTGTCCCTCTGGCACATTCAGGATGGAATCTACATGAGCAGGGAAGTGGAGGGACCTCTGGAAATTCCCAGTGGGACCACCACACAGGAAGCTCTCAGGAATGCAAGGGAATGGAATTTGGAAAACACTTCTTCCAAATATCTTTGAGAAGAACCTCCTTAGACCTAAGGACAGGTCAAAGGTTGATCTGCAGTTCCTGGGGTGGCCTATGGGGTCAGGTTACTTTCAGAGTTTCTGCATATTTTTTTAAAGGACAACAGCAATTCGTTCAATTTCTGTTCTGTACGGCAAATAGTTTAGACACATCTGTATTGGGCCAGGCATTAGGAACACTGAACTGAATAAGACAGAGTTCTTTCTCTCATTTAGGACTCAAGGTTTAATGGGAAATTTAGGACTTTAACCACTTACCATCAGCTTCACAAGAGGGCAGAAATGGAGGGAGAAGAAGGAAAAAACTGGCATGTATATTATATGCATAGAAATTCTGTGATCCCTGCAAAAGACCAAATAGACAAGGCTCATGGTTGGTGAGGCAAAATGGAAGAGCCAATGTTCAAATGTTGAAGTGCAGCCTCCTCCTAGGTCTGGGCATAGGAATTCCTAGTAGGAACATATGTATACATTCAGGTTTGTATGACTTTAACATTGATGGAAAATTATAAAACTTTGTCTCAACATTCTGGAGTTTTAATGTTTAAATACTTTTTCTGTTAGTGTCCATATCATTCATTATGTTTTATATTTCAGTGTATAAAATGCTCTTAGGTTAAGGTCTGTCCTTAAAGGTGATGGCTAAGAATCCATATTTTCAATTGTCATCACAATTCAATATTTTGGCCAAATTCTTGTTAGATTAGTTAGCTTATCCAAAGTGGCTGATAAAGAGTGTCTATGGGGAGAGGAGCAAAGTCAACTTTTCCCCTTGTTCCTTTGGCCTTCAATTTGTACCTTGCCTTGTGGAAATCCTTACAGATAATCATCTATTTTGTGAGGTTTCGTCCAGTTAATATATAATCAAAACCACAAGTCTACTCAACTGGCTGCATATCCACTAACACACAAATAAGAAACTGAAAACCAATAGAACGCATGGGGACACTGTCGCCAAACTCTCCCCACTAGGGACACCATTTTCTGTTTTGGCAGGAAACTTGACTATGTCTGGATGAATTGAGGGCCCACTATAAACCCATGCATTAAGTTCGAATGAGGCTTAATCCCTTTTGTACATTTTGGATAAAAACCAACAGAAATGGAGGCATCAGTATTTTCTTTCTGCACCCCGTGTATCACCTGGTGGTACCCTTGTGTGGGTACACCCCACCTAAGGGACACAAGGTCTGCAGGATCAAGTCTCCGCTCCTTGAGAGGTTCTTGGTGGCCTGTCCCACCCCTGTGACCTCTGCAGTCTCGTCTCTCACTACCCTTGGAGTGATGCACTTGGTTCTCATGGTTACAAACCATTTCCTTCTCTTTTCCAGTAGCCCCCCTATTTCTCCCTCCAAGTCTGTTCATGGCCCTTGTCATACACAGGCCCTGTATTTGTTCTTTCTGGAACTTCCTCCTAGGATAACACTCTCTCATCTTTCAATGCATGCCCTAGAGCAATGAACCTGTCACATCCAAGCCTCATCAAGCACCTATTGCCTGTACTCTACGAATCCCAGGTGATCCCAACCATGTGTCACTTACACAGGCACATAGAATTATATCCTTGTTAACTTGATTCCTCTGGAGACTGGAAGCCTTATAAAGCCCAGGATCCTAGTTCTTATTTACATTTTGATACAAGAGATTGAACCCAGGGGTGCTTAACCACTGAACCACATCCCCAGCCACAACCTTTTTTTTTTTTTTTATTATGAGATAGCATTTTGCCAAGTTGCTTAGGGCCTTGCTAAGTTGCTGAGACTGGCTTTGAACTTGCAGGCCTACTGCCTTATCCTCCCTAGCTGCTGGGATTACAGGCGTGCACTACCATATCCGGCTTCCAATTCATTGGTAAAAGGCTATGCCTTCTGTGTCATCTGGATGATAGAATGTCTGCTCTATTGCAGTTGAATTGATTATTCCTTTAGAGATAACACTTGCAGTCCCAATTCCATCATGCAGCAGGACTTTGTGGTTTATCAGTGCACACAGTATGTCACCGACTAGCCCCCCCCAAAAGTGGTCATGCACTGATGAACCTCAAGGTAGCAGCAAGGGAGAAAAGGAGTCTCAGCTGTTCGTATTGCAAACATCTGTTTAAGCACCAATGTTGGCCTCTGATCCATGACAAATATTTCCTGGTCTTGGGTAAGAACAAGGAAGAAATTTATCATGAAGATAAATTAACTGAATTTGAAGGACTGTGCTTTATCTTTTTTGGTTGTTGTTGTTGTTTTATATATATATATATATATATATATATATATTAGTTATAGGTGAACACAATATCTTATTTTTATTTTTATGTGGTGCAGAGGATCAAACCCAGTGCCTCAAGCATGCGAGGCGAGCGCTCTCCCTCTGAGCCACAACTTCAGCCCTGTTCTTTATCTTAAAGTATGTCTTTCCTACTAATTTTGGTTAAAAGATCTCTTCCTTCCTGAATTTATGATAATAGTGATTGGTAGAAATTATTCGATTTTGGGGGGTATTTTTCCATAATTGGCAAATTTTTTAAAAAATAGCAACCTTCTAGAAATTTCTAAAGTAGTACTTATATCTTTCTTATCTATGAAATTCAAATGCCTAGGAACCACTGGCCCATCACAATAACATAAAATAAAATTAAAATATGCACACACATGCCCACACAACCTGAGAAAGAGAAAGCATGCATGGGGCAGCCAGGTCTGAGGGTACCTCAGGTTAGAACAGCTGAGAAAGGCTTGGATGCAGCCTAAGCTCTGCCCCCAAGGACAGTAGCCACAGGTTACAGATTTTTCTCAGGGCCCAGGCTTGCTTACCTGCAAGGGAAGCAATTCTCGGCCAAGCTTCTCTGTGCCTACCTGCTCTACCTGTCTCAGGTGTGTGATGTGTCCGTGGCCTCCTGGGGCCGGAAATTGCACTGGAGAAGTTCTTACCTATTGGATTTTCCATTCTCTCTGCAGACCCCATCCTACAACAAATACAACCTCAAACCCCAAACAAGCGAGAAGCAGGCTAAAGAGATTCTCATCCGACGTCAGAACACCTTGAGAGAAAGCATGAGGAAAGGTCACAGCCTGCCCTGGGCAAAGCCGGTGCGTGGGGACATTCCTTCAGTCTGCACATGTTAATCAACTCCTCAGTTGAGCCACCATTGATACTGAAACTAACCTTGCTGCCAGGGAGGGACACCAAGCAACCTCTGCTTTCTGTCCAGGTGACCGGAGGCACCTGCCCATGAGGTTTATGGGAGTGAACTGCCCTCCACAGGAGGTCAGTGACTGCCACATGGACCCTGTGCTGAGGGTCTAGACTCAGGCCCCACAAAGGACAGATACTGAGCATGCCAGGGGTCCTCTTTGGACCAGCACCTCTGGCCCTCCCAGGAGGACACAGGGAAGAGTTTGTTCTTGCTGAGACCCTGGGGCCTAATTGTCACATCCCCACTGCACCTAAGACCACATCAGACAATCTTTTTAGGATTTCTGGGTGGAATTGAGACTAAAATAGACCCTAATCTCAGTGGGGTTGATGGAAATAAGATTCAGAGGTTCACAGCAGTCAGTTATATGACAAAAAGGAACATATTTTAATCTGAAGTTTTGAAATATGCAAAGTGCTCCTTATATTAAAAAGTGGAGTGATTACTATAATACTATTTATACATAGAGAAGATGGAAGTTCTCTGCTTTCTTCAAACAGAAGTGACTGAAAGCCAGTAATGTAACCCAGGTACTGCAGTGTGGGTCTGTCCTCTGCTTTATTGGCTATAGGAAGGTCTTAATTGCAAAAGCTCATTCCACTTTTTATTTCTACTTGTTACCCACAGGCTGGCACCAAAAACATCCGCTACCTCTCGGTTCCCTACAGCAACCTGCAGCCACCAGAGAGGGACACAAGAGCTCCTGAGTCCTCAGGTAACCTGCATGTGTGGCCACTTTCTTTTCCTGTAGAGAGTCAGTTGGTAAATACAGTGGGATTTGCAGACCAGGAAGCAAAATCATGAATATTATGAAGGTACCTATGGGACAAGAAAAAGAAGAAAACTTGCTTTATAGATAAAATTCATAATTTGTTTATGGATACTGAAATTTAAATTTTACTTCATTTTTTTATTTGTTATGAACAATTATCTTTGTTTCGTTTTTTTCCAGCCATTTAAAAATTTGGCGATGATTTATAGCTCATGGTTCCCACAGAAAGAGACAGCAGACCAGATATAGACCCAGGGTAGTTGACCTCTGTTTTAAAGAAACATAAAAGGTGCATTTTACTGAAGTTGTGGGCTTCACCCACAATTTAAATATGAGCAGAATTCTCCAAAGTTGCTTAATCTTTACTGAAATAACTTAAAATTTACTGATTAAAGGTTTCTCTTAAGTGGAATTCTTAGAATTATTGAAGCTACTTATTATTCTAACAAAAGCCAAGTTGCTATTTAAAATGTGAATAAAATGGTTTTCTATTAGTAAAAGGAGACATACGATATATACCATATGCTATATTATGTGTGTTGATTTTCCTAAAATATTAAGCCTTAAAATCATATTGGTACATGAATATGTAACAACAAATCCCATCATATGTACAACTATAATGTATCAATAAAAATGTAGAAAAAGAAAAATCATATTGGAAATCAAGTAAACTAAGTTTGCAGGATTGTAGAATTACATCTTTAAGAAGTAAATGCAATTATTATTTAAACTGATAAATTCTCTAATTTAAAGAGATGCTTCTTGTAAAATCAAAGTCAAGCAGTAGAGAAAATGCATAGTGAGGAAAGTTAAAAGCACTTGAAACCCTAACACCCAGATATAAGTGCCATAACCAATTTGGTTGGCATTCTTCCATTATTCTCTCTATGCCACCCTGACCCCTAGATCAACCCTATCTGATTTTTAAAAAATTTACAAGAACACAGCATCACATTATACATAAAATCAAATATTAGTCATGCTTTGATATGTCATAAATTGTTGGTTTATTCAACAGTATTGGAGACAGATTTCCATGTCAATAGCTATGAATCTAGTACTCATTTTAATGACTAAATAATAGTTATTAGAAGCATTACAGCTTATTCAGTTAATTTCTAATTAGTAACCAGTTAAGATATTTCTAATTTTTAATAACTAATAAGCACTGATATATTATAAGCACTTTATATCACTTGTGATTGACTTTTACATACATAACCAAATAGTTCCTTGCTGTAAGTAAAATTTTGAGGTCAAAAATCAAATACATTTAAATTTTTTTGTGTTATTTTATTTTTGATTGACACATTACAATTATAATTGTACATTACATACATTACCTAAACAATCATCCCAAACGATTATATCACTAATCACAACAGTCTGTGAGAATGGTCTTTTCAAAACACCTTTATCATCACTGAGATGTGTCAAATTTGTGAGTAATCTACATCTGGAAGGGTAAATTTATACCGTCTATTTAATTTTCATATGAATCTCTGATCTTCAGCGAGGTTAAATATCTTCCATATTTTTGGAGATGACTGCCTTTCTTTTTTTTTTAAAGAGAGAGAGAATTTTTTTAATATTTATTTTTTAGTTTTCAGTGGACACACATCTTTATTTTTTATTTTTATGTGGTGCTGAGGATGGAACCCAGCACCCTGTGCATGCCAGGCAAGAGTGTTACCGCTTGAGCCACATCCCCAGCCCATGACTGCCTTTCTTTGGGGAAATTTTCTGTGTATGCCTTTGTCCATTTTTTCCCCCTTTGGTTGCTGATTTTTTTAACCCTTTGTCCCATTGTCCCAGATTTTAGAATACCTAGAAAAACTTAGTATCATTAAAAATATGTCACACAGTTATATAATAATAATATTTTTATAAGAATATTAATTAAAATAATAACATATCTATGCTTTCAATTATGATCTTCAATCTATTTGACTGCACCTTTGCAAATTGTGTTGAAATAGTCACAGAATTATAAAACTTGGGATTGATGGGGTTAAATGAAGTTGAAGAACTCTCTAAAAAAACGGATACAGAAAATTAAGAAATGATTCCTGCATTTTTTCCCATTGAGAACATTAATAGCTTATTTTTTCCCATTTAAGCTTCAATCATCTGAAATTGATTTTGTGTGAGGACTAAGGTAGAGATGAACTTCAGATCGCTTCAAGGGCTGTGCTTCTATCCCAGCACCACATTTCCTCCAAGATAACATGTGGCCTTTGTTTTACCGAAGTCATGAACCCTGCAGGGAGCTTTGGGCACTCAATTCTGTTTCACTGATCTGGTTTTCTATTCCCAGACTACACTCTAGTAACTAATATTATTTGATATTATCAAAGGGCTATCCCACAAACAAAGGGTAGCAAAAAACCAAAACAAACAAAAAACCCATAAAAACCAAAAGAGCACCAAATATAGAGTGTTTAATAGATTGACTTTAAAATAACTTCATGGTGCAAATAACCCAGTGCTATTTTTGTAATTTGTTTAAATAGAAAATAAAAAAGTCTTACAGTTATTTCTTATGCGATGAACATCAATATCACATGACTCTAGTAGCAGAGACGACTACAAAGCAGACTTAAATTTTAAATAAGCATTACAAAAAAAAAGTAGAAAGGTAAAGAAATATTATACTTTGCAAAACAGTGTTTTATTTTTTATTAGTTTTATTATAGTTTTTTATTAGTTTTTTTATAGTTTTTATTCCAGAAGTCATGGGTTATATGACATTGGGAAATATGTTTATATTATTCCCTAGATTAATAGGTCAGAGGATCCTGTCCTGTCAATAGATGCCTCCAGGAAATGGCATCTACTCAATTTCAGTAAAGACCATCAAATGTCTGGAAATTTTATACAGGGCTGTCTTAGCCTATTTTCTTTTACTATAACACAACACCTGAGACTAGATAATTTATAAAGGAAAGAGATTTATTTAGCTTATGGTACTAGAGGCAAGGAAGTCCAAGATCACGTACGTGGCCTCTAGTAAGGTCCTCATCGTGTATCATAACATGGTGGATGACATCATATGGGGGCAGTGCCTGTGAGAATGTGGCATCACATGGTGAGCAGACACATGCAGAAGAGAGGGAGGGGACAAAGGAGCTGTCTCACTTTATAACAATCTGCTTTTCAGAGAACTAATTCTGTCTTCTGAAAAAGATGTGAATACCACCTAAATTCTTGACCCCCTCCACACTGTCACATTGAGAATTCAGCATCAACACAAGCTTTAGTGGGGACAAACCACATTCAAACTATTAGCAAGGTCCTATATGAAGAAAAAATACAATTCAATTTCTTCACTGTTGTTTGTACTCAGTAAAGAAGAAGGTAATATCGGCAGCACCCACCTGCAAAAGTTCTGCCTGGAAGTGAAGTCAGTCAGGCACAGAGAAGGTACACACGTGAACAGGCACATAGAGCTGTTAGAACAGGGCTTGGAACCAACTAGGTGTGTACGAAAAATTAGGCCTTAGTGCTACTATTGAGGAGCATTAAGGAAGACTCCACCTGGTTAGAGACAGGTGTTCCTGGAAGAAAGCCAACACCTCAAAATGCCAGTTTTTTAATGAATTAACATAGACGTGGAATGAAATCTTAGTCCCAGTGAGTTTTCTTTTCTCCCATGTACTCAAGTGGTTCTAAGTGTCGTCATCTAATTGAGATTGGCCAAACTAGAAATCTGAGAAGTAGCGAAGTGGGATTGTGTTATCAGTTATGCTTCATAAGTTTTTAATAATTACAATGACAATCAAGGGGAGGCGGAGGTCATCCTCAGTGGGCAGCTAGGCATGGTTGACCACTGGAATCCACTCTTCTCTCCAAACGTGCAGTCTTTCTGCAGCAGGAAGAGGTCAGGGAACAACCTGAGGCCCTCTAGCAAGACCTCAGCGCTGACTGTCCCCTAGGAGGCCGTCCCTGCACCAGGGAGCCTGAGACTCAGGGAGTATTTTCCGTCCTAGCCCTTCCCGTGCCCTCTAGCATCAGGATATCCCTTGTTCTGATGTCTGGGAGCTCCAAGCTGACGTGGGGGGCTCCACTCACTCTCCTAAGGTCCATTTGCCTTGGGGCTCACTGGGATTTCTAAGAAGAGAGGTCTCACCTTGAAACCCCTGGCATGTCCTGAGGCTGCTGAAAACTCCTATGAACCTGTGAACCAGGGAATGTGGAAAACCTCTGGAGATGAATGGTGGTGATGATTATGCAAAAATATAATTACTCTTGATGCCGTACACAAAAATGGTTATTCTAAATGATTAAAATGTGCCATACACAAAAATGGTTATTCTAAATGATTAAAATGGTTAATTTTTTTGTTATGTATATATTACCACAAATTTATTTGGGGGAGGGTCCTGGGGATTGAACCCAGGGGCACCCAACCACCAAGCCATATTCCCAGCCTTTATTTTTTTAAAATTTTTTAATACCTTTATTTTATTTATTTATGTTTATGTGGTGCTGAGGATCGAACCCAGGGCCTCGCACTTGCTAGGCAAGCGCTCTACCACTGAGCGCTGAGCCACAATCCCAGCCCCTCCTTTAAAATTTTTATTAATTTTATTTATTTTTATTTAGAGACAGGGTCTCACTGAGTTGCTTAGGGCCTCACTAAACAGCTGAGGCTGGCTTTGAGCTTGCAGTCTTCCTGCCTCAGCCTCAGGAGCTGCTGGGATTAGAGGCATGCGCCACCAGGCCTGGTGATTTCCTTCTGTTGTTTTTAAATAAGGAGCACAAGTGGGGTTGCACTGAGTTTTTGTCATCTGGATGCGAAGTCTTAACTCTGATCAAGTCTTCTACCTCCTCCTCCTGACATTTTCCTAGATGACGATGGGAGTGGCTCAGAATTCCCACCCATCACTTTCAGCGCACCCTCTGGGACAGGGATGCTCCAGGAAAGGCGACGGACACAAGAAAGGATCCCGATGAGGAATTTACACAGAGGAGGGAGGGCATTGCACTTCGGTCACGAAGGGAACGGCAGCCAGGAAGAGCTCACGGGCAGAGGCAGGAGGGCAGTCTTAAGGCCCAGGCCTCTGTTCCATGCCGTCGATGAGGAATATGAATCTGGAGAGGAGGCAGAGGGTCCGGCCTCAGCTGCTGGATCCAGATGGACAGCCGAGCCAGGACACAACCGGGGACACCACGAGTCCCAAAGTCCTTTGCTCCAAAGAAAATAGTTCTACAGTTCCCAAGGTCACTTCTGTGATGTTGAAGGCCATCTTCCTTTTACTGTGAAGGGGTTTTCAGATTTCAGAAGACAGCTAATGAGTTTTTTTTTAAGCTATTGGACCCATGTCTATAGGAAGCAGAAGATTTTTTTATAGGACTGGGAGCAAACCTGAAAGCTGAGCCACATCTTTGGCCAATGTCCGTTGCAGATGAATTTGTTGAGAGTGATAGAAATCCATTACCCAGGAATTGGTCTCTAAGAATTTCCTAAGGACATTCTATCAAGACTACTTGATCTATGTTCTATATTGAGATGTAAGTGTGATTGGTCAGTAATCTAATTAACTATATGCATGTGTAACTTATAATCAAAGTAGAACTAAAGGGGTCTTTGAAGCCACCTGGCTCAATCCCTGAGTTTACAGATAAGGACACCTTGACCAAGGTCCCATAATGAGCTGTCCTTTCTCCCACGTGAAGGGATTCTGTTTTGATTTTGATATTCAATATACAATAATTACATTTCAAAGGAGAGGTAACATTTGTTATAATGTTGATGTACTTATTCAGTAATAGTGATAGGTATGACTGAAATAATGGATATGTCTATTTTATAATTAGAATATTGATGTAAAACAAAGATTAGAAACACAATGGCTGCAAACAGTTTAATAACAATGACATGAATAACAGGTATTTATTAGGAATACATTGGTGGGGTGTGATATTTTGCTCTAGAGTTTGGAATTGTTCTTCAATTTAACTTGACCTTGACCTTGACCTTGAGTCTCTTACTTCAGCTCACCAATTTTACCAGACTACTCTGTCTTTCCTCCTTGCTTCCTCTTCCTTTCTCCTTCCCTCTTTTCTGCTTGGCCATTTGTATTTAGGAAGCACTTTAAAGTGTTAAATAATGTGCCAAATGACCAGTGTGTGACAGTCAACTCAATATCCTCCCACCATTACTGTCTTTGCCAACTGATTTAATCCTACACATCAGTAGGATTAAATGCTCCCAGATCCCTAGACTTTCTTTGGGCCCATAACCCCTAGGTGCCCTCTGTTCCTTTGTATATGTCAATAGAATATACATTATCTGTGAATTATGTTTGTACAGATACATGAATAATACTTATTATGGTGGCCCATGGCTCAGTGGTCAAGGGAGCATAGTTTCTTCATGTTAACTTTATCCATTTATCAGTTGTGACTTCTATTTCTTGGCGTTTTTTCTCTTACCAGTTATGGGTGTCTCCAACATGGTAGATGACTACACGGGGTGCTAATGATCACACTGCAGAACTGGGAAGGGTGTTAGAAAAGGTGTCGTCAAGCGATCTTATTTTCCAGATGTGGAAAATGAGACCCTGAGATGTTACATGTTGGCAGTTAAAGGTCTGCTTTCCCTAGAAAGGGAAAGGTCTTGTCGTCCAAGATGACCTATAGACACCTGTTCTCAACCAAGGACAAAAGACATCACCCCAGATTTACTTTTGTGAGTGACTCCCCCAGGTTCCTGCTGCAGTGGTAGAAATAGCAATTAAGCCTGTTTGTCTTTCCTCTGAATCTGAAATATAATGCTGCTTCTCAGTTATCAAAATGTGCTGATTTGAATCAGAAATGCACACTATCAAATGATAGTAATCAGTACAAAGGGATAGAAGAACAAATAAAACTCAGGGATCTTTGTGCTTTTCTTTTTGTTTAAACAAACAAGCAATCAAAGCAACAAGAAAATTAAAAAAAAAAAAAAGCTTATTCTTCATGAGATAACAACAGTGAGTCAATATCCTTAAACTACAGATGGAGCTAGAGGCAGAGAAGAGTCATCAGATTCTCCTTTGCAAAGCTGCATGTAGAAAACTGATTCTTGGGAGGGGGAGAGCGTCTCTGCCCTCATACTGGATCCACTCACGTAACAACAGAAATTTAAGGGCCCATTTCCCAGAGCAGCCAGTGAGGCCCAAGGATTAGTGAGTGCATCAAACTCTCTTGAATTTCTCTCAGATATAGGTGCCATTAAGAAGAGGGGTGGTGGGATGAAAGAGGAGATTTAATTGGTAAAAGCTTTTGGAAAAACTCCCTTTAGGAGCCAAGAATCACCTTCCATAGGCAGAAGGCAAACTGAGACTGAAGAAAAAGACAGACCGTCCAGGCTGGTAGACAAAGACTTAGGGAGAAACTTACATTTGGTATATAAGTAGTCTGAAGAGTAGCAAGATAAGGAAGATCTCTGCATGTGAAATGCACACTTGCCTCGCTTTTATTCTGTAGAATAGTTCCCCCCTTGATAAGACAGACAGTGCCCAATTCTATACGGACTGTTTAGTTCTGTACATATATAGATAGGATAGTTTAATCTATAAAATAGGCCAAGTAAGAAATGAACAATAATGATAAATAGAACAATTATAATAATGTATTGTAAAAAAAAAATAGTTATCCGAAACCTATGAATTGCTTATTTCTGTAATTTTCCACACAATGTGTTTGGAGCACAGTTGAATGCAGGTGCCTGAGACTCTGGAATTGAGGGCAGGAAGACCACTGTACCATGAAAGGTAAAAGTAAACGTGAAAAAGGAAAAAGTCATCCATGGTCACATTCTTCATCTGTTTACCTTCTACTTTAAGGGGTTGGCTGGGATCCTGGCACCTGGCTAATGTTCCTAAGGAGAAGTTGTTTGGGGCAGCAGCAGTTATCTCGATCCTCTGGTCACTGTAGGCTCTAAATCAGCAATCAAGTAACCAGACTACCTTTGAACAACAGAAACCATAATGAGCTCTTTCCCCGAGGCCGTTTGTATCTACAACCTGGCTGGCTACCTCAACTGTCCCATCCTGGGAAGTGGCTCTGAAGCTTCTGCATCAATCTATGGGCCCCAGTGATGCTGGTGGCTCTGTCAGGCTTGGAGACCTCAGGGGAAAATGGCCTCCTTGTCTGGACAGTACATTATTGTTTCAAAGTAGTTTGATCTCATCTCTCTCCACACTGCTAATGACAGGTGCCCGAGGAAGGCGCTTGGTTTCACAGGATGCATTTTCCCAACAGATCCAGGGCAGTGCAGCAAAAGGACTTCCCCTTGTGTGTTGAGGAAGGCCCGTTCTTATTCCCTACTCACCTCGTGGAGGGAATGAAATTGCATAAGGGTTCCCACCCTGGGCCTGGTTTCTTCCCCCACCCCACCCCCATACAGTCCACATTCCCTGCAAGGGGCTGCAAAAATATTGCCCTTTTATTTCCAATCTCGAAAGATCAGGTGCACAACACCAAAAATCATGTCTCTCGATGAGTTTTTGTTTGGTTTGGCTTGTAACTTTCCAAAACCTATTCATATTGTTAGCCTGGAAGGCCTTGGGTTTCACTGGGTTCTAGAGTGGGGCAGAGTGCCATTGCTTTTTGTTGATCTTGTACAGCAGACTTCACCTTGAAGGTTTTCCACTTTTTCTGGTGTTAGGGATCCAGTAACTGTTCTTATTCATCCTCCTCAAATCTGATGTGGTGCCTTGGGCACTCCTCCTGTCGCAGATCCACCTGCTAAAGGAGAAACTTTGACCACTGAAGGGAATTTGCTGTGGCAGAGTGGAGGGTGAGAGTCCAGACGTGCTTCTGCACCTCTCTCCTGAAAGTGTCTACTTCAAATCTGTCTTCTTAAGGGTCCTGAGAGCTAGGGATGGAATTACCACCTGAATTCTGTGATAATGACCCTCCTCTATGAAGCGACAACCAAGGCAGGTGCATAGGAGGAGCTCAAGTCCTCAGTTGAGCTCCTTGGCTTCAGCCTACAGGGAAGTCCCAGAACACTTCTTTCCTACCTACTCAGGTACTTGCCGCCATTGGGCAAAGTAAGTATCATCTCTAAGCTGAAATGTGCCAGTTGATAAAATAAGGTAATGATTATATCTACCTCCTGGAATGATTATGAGGATTAAATGAGATGATCTGTAATTTTTTTTAGATTAGTGTTTATTTCAAAGCAAGAGTTTGATCACTTTGGTTATAACTGTGTAAGCTAAAGAGCTATTGATTTCATGGCATGCGGAATTGTACATAGCCCAGGGCGGTGGCACGTACCTGTGTTTGGGGCAGCAGCAGTTATCCCAGTGGCATGGGAGGCTGAGGCAAGAGGATTGCACATTCAGGGTCAGCCTTGAAACTCTGCAAGACCCTGTTTCAAAATTAAAAACATTAAAAGTTAGGGATGTGGCTCAGTGGGTAAGTGCCCCTAGTACCAAAAAAACAATCCCTAGTACCCCTCCACCCCCCAAAAAAGTAAAGAAGAGTTGTAAGTAACTGAAATCTGAGAAATAATTTGATTGAAAGAACAGAGGATACTCAAGGGGACTAAGGGAAGAATGTCACAGAAATAGAGAGCAATGAAAAACAGGAACGCAACTTTATCTGAACATGTCTCACTCAGAACCCATCAATCAAGAGCAAAACCAGAGACAAGATCTGAATACGAGTTCACATTTTTCAATCAAGCACAATCTCATCTCATCTTGCTTATTTTTGTGTCATGACCTCAAAATTATTGCATTTTCCTGTTTGGGGGACAGTTATCCTGGGGTACAATTCTAATCTTGATTTATTTTCAAAAGACCATGAATTTATAGGCCCTTCATCCACGTATCATATGGATAGTCAGTGACTACAAGGGGAATCTTCTCTTTGTTGGAAAAAATCTTAATGGGGTTTAATTCCTTAGCTCAAATTTCTTTTCTATAAGAGAACTCCCCTCCAAAACAAGTGACTCTCTCAATTTAAAAATATTGTCTAGAGAGATGAGTGCTTAAATGTTTTCAATATAGAAAAAATAGTTTCTAGTATACTTTATAATGCTCAGAAATCAAGCAAAGTAAATTCTTAAAGTCAGTTGTGTTGGTGTTGTCTAAGTTTGATGCAAATATATTTTATCCACAAATAAACCAGTTGATTTCTTGTAGTTTTTAATTTGCTTTCCTGAGTAAACTCTGTCAAATATCTTATTTCTAAATCCTCCTGAGGA